GAAAGATAATATAGAGATACTAGATTCGATTATAAAAGATTAAAGTTCTAAATACTAGGAAGTTTACTAAAATAATAAAATATAAGATATATATTTTTCTATTAATTACTTATCTTATAATAGATAGCTAAAGAATTATTACTATTATTACTAATAGAATAGTTATATTTTCTAAGAAATATTAGAATCTTTTTCAAGTATTTTTTATAGAGGCTATAGATATACTATCTAATTACTATATAATAAAGTATTATATAGATCTGAAACCAGGGTCCTAACTATTATATGGTCCTATATATACTTTATTAGAAAGAGAACTTGAAGTTTTTCGGAAATATCTTAATACTAGCCTAGAGAAGAAATAATTAAGAATAGATATAAAATATATAATTCTAAGCTCTTGGCTATTATTCTAGTATTCCGTATCTAGTAATATTACCTAATATATACCCGATATACTATTATTATTAAGATAGATTATAATAACTTGAAATATTTTATAACTAAGAGAAAACTAAATAATTAATAAATAAGATAGGCAAAAAAGCTAGCTATTTTCGACTTTATTTTAAAGTACTAGCCGAAGTATAGTAATTCCGCTAATAGACTATTAAGAAAGCCAGACTTTATAATAAATATAAATAAAGATACTTTACTATCTATATTTTATAATAAGCTATAGAATATAGAATAGAGAGCCTTATAGGTAATAGTAATAAAATACTATACTATTCCTATAATACTATAATTTAAGGCCTAGAAAAGAGGAAGTAGGTATTTCTTAATTAGTAAGATACTAAGAAATTCCGAAAGGGAAGTCTATTTTAGTAATAAAGTAATACCAGAGATATTACTATTTGAGCCTATTACTAGTATAGCTAGTTATAAATAGTATATACTACGAATTCTAGCTATATGAGTAGCTAGGTCCGAAATAGTATATAAGAAAGATAAAGAGATACTACTTGAATTACTATTATAGTATTAAAGGCTCGATTTATTAGTATAATACTAGTAGTATAAATAGTTCTTAAAGGGGATTTTTATTAGAGCTATTAAGATTTAGGAACTTAATATATCTGGGTTATTAAGATATCGGGATACTATTTATATATTAAATAAGCCGGTTTTTAAAGAAGAATTATTATAAGCTAATTATAATAATCCTATAAATAGGTATTTTAGTACTAGTAAGATACTAGAGATTCTTTAAAGAAAATACTTCTAGTAAAGTATAAAAAAGGATATAAAAGACTATATTAGAACTTGCCCTATATATTAATAGACTAAGATAAAGAGATATTTATTATATAATATATTTAGTTCATTTTTCTTTTCTTTTAAGCTATAGTAAGAAATTATTATAGACTTTATTATAGGACTACCTTCTTTTAGGTTTTATAGTAAAGTATATAATTCTATACTTATTATTATTAATAGATATATAAAAATAATATAATATATTCCGATTACTAAAGAAATCTCGGCTTCTGAATTAGTAAAGCTATTTATATATTATATTATTAAAGACTTTAGTATATCTGCGGGTATAATCTCTAATAAAGAATCTGTCTTTATAAATAAGTTCTAATTAAGTTTATATTTCTATTTAAAGGTTTAATAATAACTAAGTATAATATTTCACTTATAAACTAATAGATAAATAGAGAATCTAAACTAAACTCTAGAATAGTACTTGAAGTATTATACTAGCTACTAGTAAGATAACTAGATAGTAAAGCTTGCTCTTATAGAATTTATATATAATAATTCTATATATTTAATAATAAGAATTTCTTTATTCTATATATTATATGAATTCTATTCTAGTATTAAACTATATATTAAGGATAATATTCTAGAAAGAGAAGTACTAGTAATATAGGAAAGAATATAGAGGATTTAAATAGAACAGGAGGTACTAGAAAAGTAATAGTAAGAAGTAGTAGATATATAGAAAAAGTACTATAATAAGAAATATATTAATAAGAAATTTAATATATATAATAAAGTTATGCTTTATATAAAGAATATTTAATAGCTATAACCTAGTATAAAGCTAGTAGATAGATATCTCGGCCTCTTTAAAGTTCTGGAAGTTATAGGAATATATAAATAAATATATTACTTGGAATTACTACTATTATATTAGATCTATAATATTTTCTATATTTCTCTTTTGGAACTATAGTACTCGTAAGCTAGTACTATAATAGAACTAGAACCGGTCGAGATTAAGGGCAAAGAAGAATTTAAGGTAAAATTCATTATAGCTTATAGAAAGAATAGAAGAAAAAAAAAGTATTTTATTTATTAAAAGAACTACTTACCGGCGGATAATATATAGGAACTACTAAATAATCTAGAGAATATAGCTCAAGAATTACAAGAATACTTAAAAAAGAATAATATTATAATACTATTAGCTAAATAGAGATATAAAAAATAAATGCTTTTATTAGGAAACTATTAAAAACCATATATTTATTCTTAGAAAAACTATATGAAAATTATTAAAAACTCTAAAAACTCTAATTTCTATATTCTATAAATACCCTACTCTTATAATTACTTTTTACTATTCTTATTATTATCCTTATTAGGATTCTCTCGAGAAACAGGTAGTAAATTAGCCTATAAAGCTATTAGCTATTAATAAGAAACAAGGAAGAAATAAGCTTACTTAATACTAAAGAATATTAATTATACTATTAAGAGTACTTTGTATTTATATTAAGCTAGTAAGAATTATTTAACCTATTTCTTGGATTATTAGGGGAATTCATTAGCCTTAAATAATAGCTTTAATATAAGAAGTATATACTATTTAATATAGAAGAAGAATAGTAATAGCTTTTTCCTTTTTGGGTAAAGAATAGGAAAGACATTTATATATATTAATAGCTTAAAGAAGGCGGTTTAATTATATTATATATACTTGAGGAACCTTAAATAATATTAGAATAAAGAATAAATAAAGGAAATTATAACTTATAAGATTATACTTCTTATTCTTAAAGCAGTAGTAATTATATACCGAGTAATTATTACTCTTAATATAAGTAAGATCGGGAAACTTAATAATATTCTTGGAATATTAAAAATAATAAAGGTAAATTAAGAATATAAGAATATTAGCCAAACGGGTAGTAATAGGCTAATAAGTACTAAGAGGAGTATTTATCTTAATAAATAAAAAAGTAGAAGAGGGAATTAGAAGGGAACTTGAATAAAGCTTAAAGAAGCTTGAAGAAGGCTTAAAGAAGGAAGGCAAGGAACGAGAAGGAGCTGGATATAGTATTATAGTTAAGGAAAGGAAGGTTAGTTAGTAGGAAAAAAGAGGCCTTTTTATAATATCCTCTCCCCGAATAGTAATTACGAATTCGGAACCGGCTCTATACTAGGAATACCCAGAAAATTCTAAAAAAGGGATTTATAAATAAACTAGAAGATCGGATTAACTTTTCCAAGTTCTTGGGCCTATAAAGTAATGATTTATTTATAAATAGAGGCTAAGTTAGGATTTATAAACTAATTAGAAGACCGGAAGAGCTTCCTGCCTAATAGTATATACTATATCCGTACTACCTTTGCAAGGGGAAATTACCAGAGGTAATTTGCGGATTAGCTAGGCAGGGTTAGTAAACTATATCCTTAAGTCCATTACCTGGCATAATAATAGGGTAATTATAGAGAGTCTTTAGGGAGGACCAATGGCCGGAAAGGTTTCAGGGGATTATTTATAAAGCTATTTGCAGTTCTCTCAGACCTCTTGGGGACAAGGGCCCAGAGGGGGGATTAATGTAATAGATATACGTAATAGCGTATGGACAGGTATCAGATATCGTGGATCTAGTTTCCTATTTTAGGTAAAGCTTGCGATCGGAATCGTACGGGCGATCGGAATCGTACGGATCGCATGGGATCGTGTTTCCTAGTTAAGTAAAGTGCTTCGCAGGCTTGGCTAAGCACTAGGGAACATATAGGGAGACGCTCCTAGCTTTGGAAAGGGGCATCAATTAGTCTTTTGTTGGAATCAGTTACACTTACTAGCGTCACTCTGCAGCTTACTTACCTTGACTACTTGTGCATCACCCTGCTATTACGTGCCTCACACTTATTTACAAAGATAAGTAAAGCGAGTAAAGGCGGGATACTAGCTATTAAGCCTATAATAGTAAGGCGATATCTAAATTAGGGTAAAATACGCTTTACTTTTGCGCTATAACGCTTATATTATCTTTGTAGTCACGTGTAATAACACGTGACCCAGTAATTAATTATATTTAATTAAATTAAGCAAATAATTAATTATAATTTGATTACTACGGTTCTGACTTAATTTAATTTGATTACCGGCCAATAATTATAATTAATTAAATTATTTGACACACTGAGCTTCTGCAGTATTGGTTCTGCAAACTGGGTACTTCCCATTTGCGCCAAAACAGAGATACCCCGAGCAACTATCGTCATCCAGAACAATCCCATCTGGCCTTTTCTGTGAGCTCCAGTTGCGGGAATAATGCCGAAGATGAGGAAGAAGGTTGCGAAGACAATGAAAGTACGACGTCCTAGTTTGTCAATAATCTATCCGAACAGCATACCGAAGATTTCTCCAATAAGATAAGAGTTTGAGGTATTCTTCCAATTCACACCTAAATCATACGCTGAAGGTTAACTGGCAGGTATTTAACGGCGGTTTATACGAGGTATTATAATGGGTCGTCTGAGACTAGTAAGCCGAGTTTGAAGTTTCAGGGTGGCCCGTCTGAAGGGGAGGAGCTAGAAACGTTTGAGAGGGATCCGTTGAGGGCTGAGATGGCTGAGCTGACGAGGTTGGATGACCGGGCGAAGATTATAGGGATTGCGTGGCAGACGCTGAGGACGTGAGTTTAAGGATATGGTTCAGAGGCATCTGGAAGCTAAGATGGCATGTTAAAATCGACGATCAGCCAAGAGGCGCGAAACTGGTCTGGCCACATGGATGGAACACTGTTGCCACTTCTCCCTGATTTTTCCGCATATAACTTGCTACCTAAATTTTCCGTGTTCTCGATGTGTTTTTACACTCAGTTTAAAGCCAAGGTCTTTTCAAATAGGTGACCAGTATGCTCCCAAACTTTCTCTCCCCACCCCCTCTCGACATACTTCTCAAAAACACCATTCTCCACAACAGGAATAACTTCACACGCCTGATTAACTCTCCAAGCCCCAGGCTCAAACTCCTCACTCACCAATAGGAACGCCTGCCTCTCGCCACTCTCCTCCATAGAAACAGCCATCATCCAATACATCACCGCCGCCGCTCCCTTTACCACCGGTAACAGCACCCTCCAAAGCAATCCCGACCCCTCCGGCGCCTCTAACTTACTAAAAATCTGCGTCTTCACCAACCCTGGGGCCGAGTGTACGAACGTAATATCCTTATTACTTGGATCTTGGGAGAGATATGAGAAGGCGAGCGAAGTCATCGTGATAGTGTGGTTTAGAAGTGCCGTGAACGACCAGTTTTGCGCAAGGCCAAAATCAGTTTCTAGGAGGGGTTTCTCGGCGCCAGCGCTCAGGACACTGAGGATTACTGGCCGGGAGGATTTGCGAAGGAGGGGAAGGAAGTTTGAGACGAGACGCATGCGGGAGTAGTAGGAGAGCGTGAAGCCTGCGTCGAGGTGTTCTTTCGTATCTATTTGCTCGTCAGATCTCAAACTCGATATGGAGGTGAGGAATGAACATTGGGCTCCATTCAAAGGCACCAATCCGGGACTCATATATAAATAATCCGCCTTTTTCTCTGCCTGTATGATCTGTTTACAGACCGTATCCACATCTGAGAGCAGCGATACATCGGCTTCGAGAAATGCGATCTTACAGCTTGGGTTCAAGGTTGCTAGTTTTGTATGTTGAGCTGCAAATCGCGTTGCTGAGCGCCCGATTACGTAGAGCGTTGGGGAGTGGAGCATGGTTGCCATTCTCTCGAGTGTGCTGGCTCCGATGCCGCTTGTTGCTCCAGCGAAGACGCACACGAGGCCTTGTTCATCATGTGAGTTGGCGAAGCGCTGGTTGCTTTCTCTGTGACGGCGAAAAACTGTGTTAGCAAGTAGGTTCAGTAAGACAAGATTCAAGAAGTATTTATAAATGCTTGAGATTTCACATTCGATCAACCCGAGTGGAATACCCCATATTGAAGGCACGTACCTGATCGCTGTGATTTTCACCATGACTAGCTTTGAGGAAGTATATAATGGAGCAAGAGTCACATCGCTGAGGATGTTTTGGAGGTCAAAATTGTCCGCGGACAATTTTTAGCGGGGTTCTTTGGGATTGGCGGAGCTTGCCCTGCGTAAAGACTGCGCCGCTGGGGCTGACTCCTACACTGGGTTACTCCAGGAGACCGGGCGTGATTGCGCGATTCCACCGGAAGCGATTGCTCTACAGTCGGTCCGATCCAAAAGCGCCAAAACGGTCGCCCTTTTGTATCCATAATAACTTTTTAATCACAAGCCCGAGTAATTAATACAAAGTAATGCAATTATAGAGAAGAAGCAAGTGAATAAAACCTATTAATCAGATTTTTAATGCGATTTGTGGTTAATTAGTAATCGAGTTTTGAAGTGCACGGACGTTTCTTACTTTTTTGATTTCTGACCATACAAAACGCCAAAATATTTCACGAAAGTCACGTGTACCCAAGTAAATAATAAATTAAACTTAGACTTATAAGGTCTTATAAGGCTCCTTAAGCTTCTATAAGCTTAGTATATCTAGTAAGAGCTTAAATTTTAAGAGTTACTACTAAAGAGAATATAAAGTATAAAAAGTTTATAATTTTAGTCACGTGCAGCCTCGTATATTATACGAGATGTAATTTTTTACTCTTACAAAACGCCAAAATTTCTATGCGAGCTCGTATAAAAATGGTCACGTGATTTGTAACTTCTGTAATATTAAAGGTATTAAAATCGGAGACCAAGGAAATAATTACTATAAGATATACGATAGTTCCGATTAATATGATTTATATCAATTAGTATTTTGGTAGACTTTTGTTTTTTTGTCGCTTTTGGATCGGATCGACTGTAGCACTAGAAATAGGTGCGGCGCTAATCCTCAGGTATGAAATCACACAAGCTAGGCTCCTTTCAGGATAGCTAACAAAATCGAATGGCAACCAAAAAATAAGAAGATATATATGACCACCCAAAAAACAGACTTCTATCATATATATAATACTCAAAACATTAATATTGCCACCGGAATCAAGCTATTAAAGCTCTACTAATTGTGACGGCGGAGCTAGAACAATTGGAACGAGCGAGAGAGAGAGAGAGAGGGTAAAAGAGAAGAAGTACTAGCTAAAACGACTGAAACGCCGGCCTGACAGGTGAAGCCAGTCAGGTGATAGCCAACCCCACAGAATGCCAGCCAGCGCCGTATACTAATCTCTTACGCCTTTCTTTGCCTTGGAAGCTCTATACTCTCAAAGAAATTGTCCTTACTACCCTCGTCTAGCTCGTCGGGGCCGGCAAGAGAGGCATATTAGGCTGCTAACATTACCACAATTACTTCAAAATTAGTATCAAAATCAGTCGAAATGATATGCGAATGACTATGCTTTTAATAGACCTTAGATATCGAAAATCATAAATTTTCATATTAATTGCAGCAAAATGGGAGAATTTTTGGCGGTGGATACAGTGCGACGTCCAAATTCGCTTGTTAATCGGTGAAACCCTATAAGCCCTAAATGGTACACTCGGTCCCCTGGAGTAACCCAGTATAGGAGTTAAAAGCCAATGAAATAGACGTAGGTCCGCTGGAGAAAGTATGAGATTCCGGATATGAAACTTCATTCTCCAGGACTCTCTTTTCAACAGCAGAAGAAGATGGAACACATTTTCTGCAGCATTCATTGGAGCGCTCCAGTTTTATGAAAAGGTCTGTGGTACCTTACAAGCCGAAGTGCAGGACTGAGCTAGACGGGAAGCTCCTTCACTATAGCTATGACCAATCTACCACCCCCTCCCTCAACTCTGTCCTGATCTTCCCTTGAGGCTCCCTATACTTCTTGTACGCCGACACCGTACACAACTTCGTAATGGCATCCCACTCATAGGACGCAAGCTCCGTCGCCAGATCATGCGGAACATACTCCTCGTCCTCCAACCCTTCCTCCTCGAGATCAGCCAACCACAAGCAGTACTTCCCCGACAATTTCCCATCCCACAATCCCTCTCTTCTCGGGTACCGTATCAGCAAGTCGATGGCCTCTCGCCTCAATGCTCGATGTCGGAACCGGTATGCAAGCACGCCCAACGGGATAAGGAGATTCGCCTCCATCGAAAACCCACCGTCGTCGTCGCAATCGAGCAGCAGAGTCTTGCACAAGGTCATGAGCTCTGTCAGTCTGGCGGTCTGGCCGTAGTATGATTCCTGGAGACTCAGCATTGGAACCATCATTGTGAGGTACGTGTACAAGTATGTGATCTTCAGCACTATCGCACGTTTGAATTCATCCGGATTGGTCGAGCGTCGAGCCTTGAGGAAGAGAGGACGGAAAGCATTCGACCAGGACGTGAACTCGATGAACCGCCTGTTGCGCTCGAGACACCATTCTTCGTTCGAAGTGTACTCGTTCGGCGGTGGATCGGGCGAGGTCCTGGTTATCTCGTACTGCGGGGTCTTCACGTGCCATGGCCATCCATACCTAGATGAGCCAGTCCAGTGGACCTGTCGGATGGAGAGGACGCGAAGCACCGAGCGTGCCTGACGCATGCTTGTAAACTCCTGCGGGATGTCATCCCTCATGGTTCGACGGCATTTGAGAAGCGTGTCTGAGCCCGATTGGGAGTACCTGCTGTGAATGAGGGCCTGGACCTGAAGCTCTTGGAAACACTCGAGAATCTCGTGGTCGATGTCTTCAAGAGCCTTGGGGTCTTGATCTTCGACCAGGAAACTCATGGCTCGGATTTGTGCAATTGCGGAATTTTTGTTAAAATGGTAGATTTCAAAACAGACGCAGATGATACAGGCGACCAACTTGCTTCTCAAATCAAGAGATCTCTCTGTAATGGTACTCCGCATATCTGCTATGGCTAGGCTGTACTCGTGATATGCGAATTGACGCCGGCGTGTCTGGTCTGGGGTTTGGGCACGATTTCTCCATGTCTTAGGGTCCAGTGCGCCGAGGGCTATAACAGCGTGCCGGACTGAAGGGTGCGTCTCGCAAACTTGGAGAATGAGGCGCTTCCAGAGGTCAGTGGAGAAGAGGCCTGTCAATTGGGCAGCAGTTTGGGTGGAGAACAGTTGAAAGTATCTTTTCTCTTGGTCATTTTTAAAAAGGGAGGGTGACGGTGACCGGGAGACTGAGCTAGGTGGTGTAGGAAGCATCCGGGTACCCCTTTGTGGCGGTACGTATGACGCATAATTGGAGGGGGGAAGCACACGACCTGAGGAAGCAAGCGGGTGCCTTGAGGAGTCGTCCTCGTCTGCGGGCCCGTACCCATCACAGTCGAGGTCAGCCTTGACACAGCGCCGACAGATGGGCCTGGCTTCGTCGCACTTCACTCTCCGGATCCTAAATGTACTCAGCAACTGGCAAACACCTGAAGGGGCTTGCAGATATCTTAGGGCGCGCTCACTTGCATGTACCGCATCCCTTCTTTGACTTGTGGTGAAATCGTTTCTTCGTTACTTGGCCCTTGTCTCTGCCTCTGTCTTGATCCTTGCGCACGAACTGTCGGTCGGTATGGAACTCCTCCCGGTGAACGAGCACGTCCATATGATTGGCCGGCTGGAGCTGTCCGCGGCCACTGAGCGCCTCCCGGTGAACGAGCGCGCCCGGATGATTGGACGTCCGCGACGTCAACCCATCTGGAGCCATTATGAGGTGCAGTAGCAAGTTGAGGCGTCCCTGGCGTCGAACAGATGGGGATCTCTACATGTATGGCACATTGGCAGATGGGAATCGAGGGTTGCGATGGGAAGAAAAGAGAGGTCGCGTCCAAAGGCATGAAGGCTCCGACTCCACTTACAACGCCGTGGTTGGACAGCGTATCTGCGTATTTGGCGACCAATCACATCTCAAAGCTCGTGAAATTGGGGGCGACACTTAACGCTGGCCAATAAAAATGGTTCCTTGTGCCTGAGGAAAGCGGATTATCGAATTCTCCGTGCCTTACAGAGAGATGAATGAATAAGCAGCCATACAAAAATAGAACGAACCCCTTGTCTGGCTAAACGAATGAAATAACCACGTGATTTACCTCCGCCTCCTCCCAGCTACCATAATCCTCAATGAACAAGTTTCAATTTGAATACATATTCAAAGACTGAATCCTGATCCTCAATGTGTCGAATGTAACACACCTCCTTGGACCTCGAAATGGGTAAGGGGAACAACAGCTTCGCCTTCTCTTATTGCGTTTGGTCGAGGGAATCTTCGCATGGAAAGATTCATTTAGAAGTACGTACTTGCTGTTAGACTTGTTTACTTGATATAGTAAACAAAAGAGGTTTTGTTTTTATTCCTTCCTCACTTACAAAAGCGGACTCGACTAACGAGGAACGAAAAGGGGTCATCACGTGCTTCGCTAAATGATTCAAGGCAGCCGGGCCGGTCTCACCCGCCATCAGCCTTTCTCCGAACACCTTTTCTCTCCCAGCATCAACATACATTGAGGCAACGAAATATCAAAAGGACATGGCTCCTGGTCGATATCACCTACGGGTCGCGACATGCAAATTTTCAATCATTCCGTCTCTCAACGCTCTGTCCTCAAGTATCAGCTATGTCCCCGGCGCATACCAGGTATGCGAATAACTGCAGCCCCCCCTCCCCCCCAATCTGCAAAGGTGCCCCAAAATCTAGCAGAAGCGTCGATCGAAATCATGACGAGCAATGTTTACCGTATTCTCTTGAATTAATGTTTTTGCAACAACAATGCGGGGTTGAGGGTTGGGTAAGATCGTCAGATGCGGGGACCGTAAGCAGCACACTTTCCGATCGTTTGCCAGAGATGGGATAAGAAGGAAATGGGGATGGGGAACGTGGCAACTTGGCTGGGATTACTGGGCAAGTTCTGACGGTCTTTGTGCTCCTTCCTCCAACATATTATCTCCACTTCGGTGTTCCAAATATTTACCCGCCGTGCAAAGAGACACAATTCCTGTGCCATCTGTCCTAGGCCTGGCAAGAGATAGACATCGTCGCATATCACTTGGAAAAAGTGCGGAGAAATGTGGAGCAAACACGAGGAAGAGCACGAGAGGTTCTATTTGAAAATCATCTCAGACAGCAATACCATTGTGGACGATCTTGGGATTGTTTGCTTTCCATTCCAGTTCGAGACTCGCCACCACCTTTCCAAAACTCAAAGTCTTGAATATTCTAGCGATATCGGAACATCCCAACATATATAATGACAGCTGGTGCCAGAGGGAACAGTTACAACTTTTGCTGTGACCTTCTTCGTGGCCTTGGGATCTTTCACATATGGCTCCAACTCAGCAATCATGGGTTCGGTGATCGGTCTCCCCTCTTTCTTTTCCCACCTTGGCATTGCTTATGCAGTGCCAACGGCTCACCTATCACAGGAGCCATTAACGATATAAACTGCAGCGGTGGTGCAATTGGCTGTTGGATAATTACGCATCTTGCGGATTACTTTAACTTACGAGATTCAGATCATCTGCGTTATATCCATCGTTTCAGCAGCGCTTCAAGCTGATTCGGTGCACATGTTGTTGGTAGCTCAATTCATGAGTGTTAGCATTGGATGGATCACCTCCATCGTTTCAACATACCAGTCAGAGATTGCTTCTGCTGCGCATTGCGGCCGCATAGTTAGTTCTCATGGATTCGTCATTTGCATCGGATATGTAAGAACTCTGCTCTCGCACACCATAGTCAGAATGATTGATAAATGCAGGCTGCGGCAAGAGGGGCAGGTTATGGAAGCTAATTCGGCCCGCTGCCATTCAGTGGCGTCTTGTCCTCACTCTGCAAGCCGTTATAGCAATACTCTTACCGATTAGGAGCCCCTGGCTTTAAGAATCTCCACGTCGACTTATTAACCAAGCTCGTGATGCCAAAGGTAGACTTTCCAGACGATCATCTCATGTCAAAGCATGGGCTAACACATCCCGCAGGCCTGAAAATCCTTGAGAGGCTTCACGCCCACCCGACGTGTCACATCACAACTCGAGAAGAGTTCATGCAAATCCACAAACAAACTAAACTTGAGCGATCCCAGAAAGTCAGCAATCTCATCCAGTTGCTTATGCACCTAACATATAGGCAATGTATGTGTCACGGCTTCTTTTTCCAATGCCTGGCTCAGATGACCAGTGTTCTTGTCATCAACAACTATCTGGTGAGACGTCTTGGTGTAGTATCTTGAGCTTGGCTAGCTAGCTCAAGTTCTTCTTTACACCAATCTCGGACTCCACGGCGCCGATACTGAGTATATGGGTGAGAATCCATGGCTCCGAAAGCCAACTGAATACATCAGCATCACTCTTTGCATTTTGCCTCTTATTTTGGTCCCATATTCCTGGCGCCGCTCTCATCGGCCCGGTCAGTTTCCGAAGTGTGCCGTGGGGCTGAAGGTCTGAGAACAACTTTGCCGAGGGCCCAGTGGCTGGTGGAGCTGGCGGTGCACGCAGAGTCGGGCCAGTCAAAGCATCGCGGCCGACGAGCCAAGTTTTCCATCTAAATCAATCGTCCAATCATATCTCATCTGTATTTTTCATCCTGCCGACGTTTGGGCACGGCGGAGAAGGCCGGCGTAGGTGGCGTCATTGCCGACAGCTGTGAGGTAGCACAAATGCAGGTCAGCCACCGGGCTGAGCGATCAAATCTTTCCGACCACCAAAACAAAAGATACAGTAAGCTCTTGAGCTGCCAACGTCATCCTCCCTTGCGGTTTACACCAACCAAACTCAGCATTTGGAATGCCAATCACTTGGAATAAGCGCGATACCTGCAAGACGCCTTCCTCGGCTTACCCACCTCTGGTCTTCCGTTCTCTCCCCGCCGTTGTGGCGCTCCCGGCAATCTCAGATGCTGAAACACAGCCTCATGAGTGTACTGATATTTGTGTCCAGCGGCCAATGTGCCTTAGGCACAGCAGATGCTCAGCTTAGGACCTGCATGGCAAATGCAGATGGCGACTGTAATCAGAGCTGTATAAAGACGTTTGGATATCCGCTCTCTGCTTCTCCTCATCTCTTTATCTCATACAGTCTTCTCATTTCCTATCTTTCCTATCTTGTCTTTTCCTTGACACCATCTTTAGATCTTTTCTCTACTTGGATCTTCCAATTTTTCTTCTTTGCTTTCTACTTTCGTCCATTACAGTCTTCTATTATCCCTTTTTTTCTTCCAACATGAAATTCTCCACCATCCCAACGCTCAGCGCATTTTTCGCAGTCGCTTCCGCTGCCGTCTGCACTGATGCCAACCCAACCACTGTCACTCAAACGGTCACCGTCACAGCACCTCCTCACGGAGGAAACACCTATGTCCCAGCAAACGCCCGGGGCAACCCTTCTCCATATGTTACTACCTATGGCGGCTCTGTCACATCTGTCGACTACTCCGGGTCCACGACCTCCGTTTGGGTTTATCCCACAGGCTCTCCTAGCCACGACTGCACTGTCGCGATCTACGAGAACGACACTGTCAACGTGATCATCATCAACATCAATGTCCAGATCGTCAACGGAGCTACAACGACAATCACCTCGACAAAGACTGATGTCAAGCCAACCTGGGTCCCTCAACTCCCTTACAGCACAACTTCCACAAGCTCCTCCTACAGCGCAATGAAAACCCACAACGTCATTGTCGGCGCTGATGGCGAGCTCAAATATGCCGGGAACAACATCGACGCCGCAATCGGAGACATCATCCGCTTCGACTTCAACAGCACCAACCACACCGTCACCGAATCCACCTTCGATAAGCCCTGCTCCCCCAAGGACGGAGGATTCAATACCGGGTTCAACCAATTCAACAACCAGAACCACACCGGTATCATCTTCAGGGAGTTCGAAGTCAAGGTCAACACCCCGCTTTGGTTTTACTGCGCGCAAACCGTGAAGGTGTCTCACTGCCAAAAGGGAATGGTTCTTGGTATTAACGCTGCCGGCAAATTCCCCGAATTCCTTGCTAGGGCTACTGCAACTGCTACTTCGACTTCCAGCACTGCTTACGGCACAGGGAAGGTGTCCACGCCAGCAGCCTACACCCCCGTCGCCAAGACCCTTTCGACCGGTGGAAGCAGCATGTCAACCACGACCACCTCTTCCTCTACACACAAGGCAGCCGTGGCTGCTCCTTCTGTACATACCATTAAGGGGCGGAGAGTAGTTGCTTGGTCAGCTTAAGTGTTCGACTATCGATTGTAAGAGGACTGGTGTTGCACAGCGAGGAGTTCGGCATGGGTTAGACGGGTCTGATGGCATTTTTTGGTGTTTTAGATTTGACTGCAATGCAGAACACGGAGTGCAACACGCACATATGATATTAGACTAGAGCTTGAATATACTTTTGTTCAAGCCAATTCATTGCTTTCCTGAATTCTCTTAAGTGATCGCGATTTGAAGCTGAGAGTACTCTTAACAAGTTCGATTGAAAACCTAATTATATTTTCCACCGCATGAACTCAGAGTAGACAAAACTCTGTATGAGAATCTCATTCGGGATTCTATGCAAACTCTTACTTTTATATAAATGGTATTAAAAAGCGACAATGAACAACTTAGGCAGGCGTAGATTATCGGAGCTAAATAGGCAAGAACGGAGGAATAAAACTGGTTATAGGGGAGTCAAGTTTCTAGAAATGCTTGGGTACCCTTTATCGATTTTCTTGAATAAGAACAGGTAGTCGAGAAGCAGTTGTGAAGAGAATTAACAAATGGGACAACGATTAACTAATTTCAAGGTCGAGTCGAGTCGAGTTGAATTTCTTGGGATAGAAAGAAAGGTTAACAATATAATCCTAAGCTTCATGGCATGGCTGGGTACTAATATTAGTACTAATACCTTATCCTTGTACAAGTTCTAATAAAAATGGATATCCCATGTATTGGAGTTAGATTAAACAAGCATTGTACAAGCTCCGGAGACAGTCTATTACAGTGACCAAAGTAGAACAAATAACACGCGAGTGATAAGATAGAATACCCCAGGGATGGATGGATTAATTGTTTGATTTCAAAGCGAGAGTATCCGGTCTATGGCTTTATAAACTTCTATAGGTGGTCAAATCGTAATTATATGCTGTGTTTGTAAATTGTGATTACTCAAGGGCTACTCAAAGGCCGGTCGGGGCGGGTCGGGATGCTCTGGCCTCTCAGGCCAGCAGGCTGAGCCGAGAGTGAGCCGAGGGTGGTCAGCGCCTGAGTAAGAGTGGCAAGTTTATGAACCGAATACGAAGCACAAAGAGAGAAAGTCATAATACCCATGTCTGCAGAAACTCCGCTTTTAATTTTCATATGAAAGTGCTGGCATTCGTGGTCCGAGATTTCACTCGGAAGTGCATTGAAAGTATGTTGCGCCCGTAAAATACGTCGCCGCCTCTCAATCGCGCTTGCTAGAGGCTTTGCTTGTCATCCTTCGACCTCTCCAACGTCTCACACAGAATTTTAATATTCTCAACTAGCTGCTATCTTCTAGTTATGGTTCAGAGTTTGCTTAGTTTACATTCCTTTGACTTCTCAGATATGTATTAAAGAATGCCCTTCCAGCCCGTCAGTCCTCTCCACCCAGCGTCCAACTCAAAACTCCTCACTAACCTCCCACTATCTCATCTTCAACCACCAAATAAGACCATATCAAACATTTCACTTCTCTCTCAAACAACCAATATGCAATTCACCGGCTCAATCATCTCAGCCATCTTGATGTTCAGCTGCCTCAGCTTGCTGGCCTCCGCTCCTGCCCCAGAACTCCAAGTGCAAGCCAATTCCAAGCTCAACCAATACTCCAATCCCTGCTGGTACATTCCCTCTCCTCCCCTCCCACTCGATCCTTTAGCACTAAGCATATCACCTGTGTTGATAAACACGGGTAATGCCAATCGGTGAATGTGAATTACAATAATAGATTCCAAAGATCAACAGCACCAAAATGACTTAGTTTCTCTGACATGTGCTTCTCATGGCATCGCAACGAGTTTTCTTCCGTGTATTGGTGGCTGAGATAGGGGGCGCCGAAGTGGTGCCGCGAGAGCATGTGACTTTTAGGATGATTTCCCATTCGATCGTTATAATGAAATCTCTTCTGAGACATGTGCTTTCAATAATTATCCACTGGCCCAGCAAATTTCATTTCTGGCTGCGGATCTACAGTGCATCGTCCCCAGTCAGCCTTTGGCAGCTCCCCTGAACCAATTAAGCGACCCCGCACAGTTAAGCGAGTGTCGCATAGATATACGAAGGTCCAATGAGTTCAGTATCTGCTCCTGCATACGCGCTCATGCTGGGGGTTGCTATCTAAAGATGTAGCAGCTTCTCAGGCTCGTCATGATCCAAAATCATTGCTTGGCGATGTGAGGCATCACCGAGTGTATCAGACGTAAAGGGCCGAAGGAAATGGACTCGACCAGAGCATCATTTATCTTACGGTCTGGTGCTGGTTCGTCGCGCTCGGCCCCTCTTGCTTTTCCCGCGTGATACAGCGCGAGTACTTCTGTAAATTCTTGGATGTGGTACCCGTTCGTCCCATCTACCAATACTAGCCGGATTCCCCTTCGCAGCTCTGACCAGGAGGGTAACAGGAACCCGACTAACGTTACGCCGAACCACGGCCTCTCTCCGCTGTTCGATGTGTTACCCCTGCTTTCCCCGACTCCCCCAACTTCCCCGGATTCCCCGAACCCCCCGGGTTAGCCAATCATGAATTCAGAGCCGCCGGTACAAACCGTACTACTCAAAAGGGCCAAGCGAAGATCTTGTTGAATCCGACGCGGTGATTGGTGGATACTGCGGCCCTCCCTCGACTGGCGCCGGATCTTCTCCCATATTGAGAGACTTAGCCTCACAACTATTCCGCTGCTACGTTATTTACACACTACCGGCAAGCGAGCATACATTTAATATGCGCTTCAATCAGCATCCAGCACTCGATGGACCCGCCCGGCATCCAAGTGACGACATGCAGCCCGGTGCCTCATCTCGTAATTTCTAGTGCGTTTTGTGCTTTGCTTGAACAGTAGTATTTCCGGGTTAATATCTCTTCTACAGGGGCGAAGAAATATACCTCGGGGAAGAAATTGGGACCGCATTGACGTGACTTCAATTGAGGGGTATGACGCTTTAGGGAATTACCTTAAGTCTATATAACACCACCTCGACTGTGGCTAGTTAGTAGAACAACTCCTGTTCAATTTTATTAAGATGATCCTACAAATATTTTCTCTGCCGTTTCTGGCTGGTATTGCTAGTGCTATTAACCTCAAAGTCTCAAGTACCGGCGGTAATGCATCATCTCCACTTATGTATGGGCTTATGTTCGAGGATATTAATCACTCTGGAGATGGGGGCATATATGCAGAGTTGATAAATAACCGAGCATTCCAAGGAAGCAGAGCATTTCCATCAACTCTTGAGCCATGGGTACCAGTTGGAAATGCAGTCTTTGCTCTGCAGAACACGTCAATACCACTCTCCTCTGCACTTCCGACTTCAATCAATGTAGCTCCCGGACCTCTCTCAAGCCACGCCAAAATTGGGCTGCTCAACCCCGGATGGTGGGGTATCGATGTCAAACCTCAGAAGTACACCGGCAGCTTCTGGGCACTGGGCTCATACAAAGGAGATTTCACGGTGAAACTTCAATCGAACCTAACCGACGATGTTTTTGCCAGTGTAGAGATCCCATCGTCTTGCCAGCCCGGTAAATGGGTAGAGCACAAATTCGAATTAGAGCCCAACCTTGCGGCATCGAACATCAACAATACCTTTGTTATCGAATTTGAACCCGGCAGTGGAGCTGTGAACTTTAATTTGATCAGCCTCTTTCCACCAACGTACAAGAACAGGCCGAATGGAAATCGACCAGAGCTCATGGAGGCGTTGAAAGCTCTCAACCCCAGCTTTATTAGAATGCCAGGGGGTAATAACATGTCCGTATTACTCGGTACACATTATTTATCCAATACTAACTTTTTATCAGAGAGGGAGACATCTGGCACTACCCCTGGAGGTAGAACGAGACGATTGGTCCTCTCACCCAACGTCCCGGCCGTCCAGGTACATGGGGTTATGGCAACACCGACGGACTGGGTCTTGTCGAATATCTCAACGTACATATTTCTCTCTATAACTCGATATCCCCGTTTATTCCCTTTACTAATAATGTCCAGTGGTGCACTGATCTCGAGGTCGAACCTCTCCTGGCTGTATGGGCGGGAATGTATCTCGGTAGTGATGCAGACCACATCCTCTCTGCTGAAGCCCTCGCACCATGGGTAGATGATACACTTAATGAACTCGAATTCATCCTTGGTCCGGTTTCCACGCCTTACGGCGCTCTTCGCGCTTCTTTGGGCTACCCTGAACCTTGGGCTTTGAAATATGTCGAAATTGGCAATGAAGACAACCTCTACACTAATGGAAGCAGCACTTACGCAGCATATCGCTTCAGTATGTTTTATGATGCCATCACCGCAGCATATCCAAATCTCAAAATAATTTCATCTACTGGGGACTACACAGCAGTGGGAGGAAGCGGCGAAACTGCTACCTGGACGGATTTCCACACCTACTCACGACCAGATACCCTCGTGAGCATGTTCGACAAGTTTGATCACGCTTCACGGGAATACAAGACTCTGATTGGCGAATACGCTATTGTGCAGGAGAACCTAGATGGACAACTTGCGGGGGTAAATTGGGACCTACCAAAGTTTCCACAACCAGTTTGGATTGGGGCTGTGAGCGAGGCGATTTGGAGTATTGGGGCAGAGAGAAATAGCGATGCAGTTGTGGGCATGAGCTATGCTCCTGGGTTCCAAAATTTGAATTCTTATAACTGGAGTGTAAGTCTGCTCTGCTCTATCTATACTCATGAGTTTTGTTTCTTCCAACTCCCTTTCCTTCTCTTGTATTGGAATCTTACAATCCGCCATTATCAACAACCAGCAGCAGCAGCTAATGAGTCCTCAAACAAATAGCCCGACCTCATTTCCTTCACCGCCGACGTTTCGCAGACTGTCCTCTCAACCTCTTGGCATGTAATTAACCTCTTCTCCAACAGCCGCTACACATCAACAGTTCCAATAACCTCAGACTCTCCGCTTGGGCCCGCATACTGGGTAGCCGGGACCTCCGGAGAAGGAAAGTACACCTTCAAGATTGCCATATACAACGCCACTTCCTCGGTCCCATTCAACATCACCTTCGAAGGTGTAGCAAAGGGTGCGTCGGGACGGTTGACGGTATTGAGTGCCCCGGAGGGGCTGAGTGCTAACATGTTGGATGGCGAAGGGGTACCGACGGAGGTGGTGGCAAAGAGAGAGGTGGAGCTTGTTGCGGGGAGCGCGGGAGAGTTTGGATTTGAGCTGGAGAATTGGGAGGTTGCTGTTTTCACGACTTGACATCTACAATTAACTATAAATTAACGGGGTAGCATTAGCCTCCAAATTACAATACTCACTTCGCTTGCTTCCTCTGCTGGGTCTGCCGGGTCTGCCGGGTCAGCGCTGCGAGCCTGCCACCGTCATTTAGATTACTTTTTGGCCGTGGCCGCGTCCTCGGTTCCGCGCCGTGCGTCCCCCTGACTGACCCCGTCGCTGTGGGCCTGCGCATCCCCGGCCACCCATCAAAGCAGGACGCGACCCCTCCCACAGCCCCTCAACCCTGGCACTCTGTCTGCTCACCCTTAATGGCCACTCGCACCCACACCCGCACTCAACCTCGATCGATTCTGCTGTATTTGAAACTCCAGCCTTAAGTCACGTACACTACACTATACGGCACTTCGCAATGCTCTTTCGCCTAATCTTCCTTTGCATTGCGGCTGTTGAGGCTCGTGGCTTGGACAGCGTGAACTACGGTGCATTTACGCAAACCGCGACGTACTCGATTGCAAACCAACTGGGATTCTTCACTGCGTATGGATTGGACGTCCTCTATCAACAAATACCCAATTCAACTTATGCTTATGCACAGATTCTCAACGGCGGCTACGACATCTTAACTGGCACCATTGACAATGCTGTTAATCTGCGACTGAATTCCAACGAGAACGTCACGGTGATAGGTCAATTGGACCAGGGTCCCGATCTTGTGCTCGCATCGAACCCAAATATCACCAGCGTTGCCCAGTTGAAAGGTAAATCTCTGATTGTCGATTCTCCTGTTAGTGGCTACTCGTATCTCCTGCGCAAAATCTTGAGCACCCATGGACTCTTACTGAATACCGATTACTTCTTCCAGGTGAGATCTTTAAGGGTCCATGTTCGCGTTGTATAAGGGCTAATAAAGGCAGACGGTTGGGGGTACCAACCTCAGATATGCGGACTTGGTTGCAGGAAAGCTTCCCAACGGGACTGCCGTTTATGCAACAATACTCGTGTACCCATTTACAGCGGAGGGTGAGGCTCTCGCTGCCGCTCAAAGACCAAATATTCTTGCTCGAATTTCCGACGTTGTCGACCCCATCTCCTCATCAGCTTTCACAGCTCGCCAATCAGCTCTGAGTAATTGCACCGAGAATGATGTCTTGGTACGATTCATGAGTGCCATGTACACTGCAAACCTCTACCTGCGCAACCCCACCAAAAAAACTTGCAGTCTGAGAGCAATTGGAAAGCAACTTAATGTAACGACCACCGTCGCGCAGCTCGAGTACAACGCCGCAACAGGTGCCGATACCGGAGAAGTAAGTCCCGGAGGAACCTTTACTGTCAGCCAGACGGGGCTGTTGAACGTGATCGCGGTACGGGAGGAATTCAATGGATTCAGCAGCTTACCGTCGGACTACAATTTCACCGCTGCTATTGTCCCCGGCGAAGGGAAACTGATCGATTATTCGATAAGGGATCTCGCAGTGGCAGGCTTGAAGAAGCATCTCCTAAAGAGAACTTGTTAGGGGTTGCTGTAGTCTTGCGGAATCCATTAGTCGGGTACGTAGGATAAGTCAATTAATGTTGGGAGGTCCCTTTGTTTTCATTTCTGTTAGAAATGCGATCCTGCTGTGTCGCCTTAAAATCTGGGTGCTGTACATAGAAGAGATATCAAGAATAATCGTGGAGGACAATAAGATAGACTATTAGCGATGAGGGTTTAAGAACGAATGTATGCAACGATCGGGCTCAATTCAGCTCTACTTGCAGGCCGAACTCAGTACCTTCCTGCCCCCTCAAATGCATTGTAGATCACCGCTTTTGTGGGTTGGAGACGAGCCGCGCTTATTTGTATCGGTTACAATGCCCTTCCTCCTAGCCCAGCCAGTTCGTGCAAAGGTCAAGATCTGGCCCCCTCATGAGGCAAGATCCTGGAGTTCAATTGCGAGTAGTAGGGAGCATCTTCCATGCGTAAGACAGACATCCTGGTAGTTTTCCACTGAAAAGGTGGAGATCGACTTATTATTTAGGGGGCAGCGTAGAGTGGGAGCGAGGTTCACGGCATTACCGGCATACAAAGTTTAAATTTACCTAGCACTGGGTGGTGAACACTCTAAGTTAGGTTCCCCGAGCCCCCTACCTCGCCCACCTGCCGCATTAGTGTCCTCCCGCACTGCCTGCGCCGCGATACCTGCATCCTTTGCTAGCGTGGTCGATTGTCGCCAGACAAGGAGAGAAGTAGCTCCGCTGTCAGCAGTACTTTGGCTGGAATTAACCCTGAACATGAGCGTCAAGGTAGCCTCATCCAGACATGGTTGCTTCAACCCAGCTCAGCCGAGGCCGAAGGTTTCCCCTGCACTTAACCGGCCCACGAAGTTCGCTGGCTCCTCTTTCACCACATCAGGCTTATCTCGTGAAGAACCAATCTCAACAAAAACTCTAAATCAAGTGCATACAAGCAATCAGGAAGGGATCACCCGCGTCTGAATTCTTTCTACTGAGAATGAATAAAGCACGCCCATGATATTTAAACGCGGAAAATGAAGGGAGTTTTATCAATGATAGAGTCGAGGAGCTAAGTTTTAGGTAGCTAACAAGATTGTACATATGGTGTAGGGGTGTGTTCAATTTACTCCTTGTGATTTTCTGCAGTTGTCTACGGAGGATTCACTCGGTCGAGCAAGGATGTGCCTCCGGGCCGCGTATTAACAGCCTTCCAAACCTAATCCTGAGCCGGATCAACGATAACCCAAGGATCCCGACGAGGTATAAGAAAATGAAAGTAAACTCGGCTTGACTCTTATGCCTTGACCATTGCTACAGATACCATTCCCCACGGCAGATACCAATGCCTCTCACGTTTCTACCTCGTGATGTCATTGATGATGGCCTCTACAACCCTCGTGGACAGATGCTGGCCAATCTATCGATCGCCTTTGCGTGCCTTTCATTTCTCTTCGTCACTGCACGACTAATGACCCGATATTTTATACAAAAGTCTTTAGGGCTTGATGATTTTCTAATTGTCCCTGCATTAGTAAGTGAGCAACGCCATCGTTGATGTATGACCCCGCTGATCAGCAATAGGTCCTGGCTCTTATGATGGCAGTGTCGTACAACGAAGAAGCTAAAAATGGATTTGGGTTCCATTCAACGGTAGATCATCTTGAAGCGATTTCTTGGTCCAAAGCAAAGCTAATGATCTCTAGCAAGTAGACAGCAAGCATAAGATCCTAGCCATGAAGGTGAGTGAGTCAGTCATAGGTATCTCCCAACAGTTGCTGAAATAAAAAGTGGTTCTTCGCTGCACAATTGCTTTACAAAGTAGCAATATGCTTCACCAAGCTTAGTATTTTGTCTTTCTACCTGCGAATATTCCCAATTCAGAATTTCAGAACAGCAACTTTCGCCACTGCCGCAGTTGTTGTCGCCTATACCGTCGGATCAGTTTGTGCGACGATATGGCAATGCAAGTAAGTATTTCATCCTTCCCGTATTTACCTCAAGTGAACGCCAATGTCCTTCCGTACACCCTTCACCCAAAATCTATATTAATCAATCTACCTTTACAGACCTATCCCGAAAACCTGGAATAAATCACTCCCCGGGACATGCATTCAAATCGGCGACGTGTGGTATAGCACGAGTGTGATGGCCATCGTCACAGATATAGCTATTATTATATTGCCCGTCTACCAAATCAGACGTCTCCAGCTTCCCCTATTGCAAAAGATAGGTCTATGTTTGCTGTTTAGCTTGGGTATTTTGTAAGTCATTTAGTTCACGTCGAATGCTGCAGAAACTGACTGCTTAGCGTTGTTGCTTGCACTGTCGTTCGAATGATCGTTGTCGGGCCTGCAATCACCGCCAAAGACACTATGTGTAAGGTTTTCTCCTTTCTGACCAACAAAATGCGATGCTGATATCGTCTAGATTACCAAGCAACCTCGAATAGCTGGACCTTTCTCGAAGTCAATGTGGCTATCATTTGTGCAAGCCTACCTGTCCTAAAAGCTACAATTACTAGATTCCTCCCTGGTTTGATGCGCGACAAGACCACTGGCAGCAGTCGTTACGCGGACAATACTTCGAGTAATATCGCCTACACGCCGAGAAGGGTCATATCACACAATGCTCGGGTTATGACGGACAACGCCAGTGACGAGGAGTTTATTCTGGCGGAAGTTTCCAGAGTGCGGAAGACGACAGACACCAACGTCACCTACGAGGAGGCGACGTTCGGGAAGGCGAACATCGAGACGGCAGAGTTCGGGAAGGAGAAGTCTGGGATAGTATAATTTGTAGCTCAAACAGGACGTATACTTGAAGTGTAAGGCCTTATTGAACGCTCTATGTGCATGAAACTTGTCAAGTGCGTATAATTGGTCAAAGCCAAAGGGCGACATACGTACAAGGTGTAAACTTCCATGTAAAAGTGCCATACAGGCAACTACCCTACTGCCGCTATAACCTCGCTATCACCACCATTCCTGGTACTGTTCCTGCTACGAATATCTTCATTGTTGCCCTGATCAAAATTCATAAATTCTTGAATGTTATGTCCTTCTGATTATACTATAACAAGACTATGTTTAATTTTTTTAGTAGATTGTCCATCCCCACGTCATGGAATCCTGCCTGGCCTAGCGCCCTCGCTAAACCAGGCCCCGAAGTCAAGAGCTAGGGGTTGAAAAGCCGTCAGTCATACTCCATACATAAACATTATTCAAAAACCGTATCTGAACATCATCTCAGCAACTCAGCTTCTCCTTGCGATATCTGTTCAATTTCACTTGCGACGACCGCTCAAGTGCAGATAGATCGGCCAACCCCCCACCCCCACCAAAACCTTTAACTAAACCTTCTCTCTTCACACAACCCAACCGCCTTGAGATGTCTTCTGACAAAACTATTGTTTTGATTACTGGTCCATGCCGCAAGGAATTAAATCGGCTTCGGCAGGGACCTTGTAAGTTTGACTAAGGAGCGAGAGCAGATATCTTATGACTTCTTAATAGATTCAATTTTCAAAGAGGTGGCCGTGTTCTAGATACAGCCATTAGCACAATTTATATTTAGACAACATGGAAACTATAACGGATCCGTGAGAGGCCAGAAGAGGAAGCCCTGGGGTGCTGAGCTGACATGACTCATCAGGGTACTCAGGGCTCAGGGCTCAGCTCAGGTTAGAGTAGCGACTGCTCAAGTCCAAAGACGGAAATGGAAAACGCTCATGTCAACGTCCCTACGTGGGACTACCTGTTATGCCGCGGGAATATTCACAAGCTTGTGTGACTAACTTTGCCTTTGCTCAGGCTCGGCTCAGGCCCGGCTCGGCAGCAGGGTTGCTTCTTTTGCTCCTACATCGTTGCAAGAAACATTGGTTACTTTGTATCTGCAACTTTAAATACATATTTACTAGCGCTCAATTTTCCGTCTTTGAGGTCCGATAACCCTTTGCTGAGTGCATTCAACCCCCCAGGCAATAATTTGTAAGGGTGGCCGTTCAACCATCCATCATGCAGACCACTCGTGAATAATCGAGACCAAACAAGTCCGAAGTCTCTTCCATTTGTTGCAAGTCCCTTTCTGTCCTGATCTTGAAGCCATGCATCCGTCTTGACGTCACCGTTGACGTTGCCAACATAGGTAACTGTTCTTTCAATTGAAGCCGGGATATCGGAATAATCCTCACCGGGACGAAGCAAAGTGATGTGGCCACCGTCCGTCATAACTTTTGAAATGTTTCGGTAGCTACCATTCTCACATACTGTGTCGATTGCGTGGAATATATCCTTTGTTCCGGCGGCTTTCAGTGCGCTTCTAATTTCTTCGACTACATAGTCGCTTGCATTACGATAATCGACAACGGTGTCTCCTTCAGATCGCTCGATCAAGGACTCAATGAATGGCGCTCCAGCTCCAGCAATCGCAATGATGGGATGAATATTTGACCGCCGTGCAAGTTTGATTGCAAAAGATCCAACGGCAGTAGACGCACCGTAAACTATCAACGGGATTCGTTTCGTAGCGGGGCTCCAGGGCATGGGGAGGCTAAGACGCCAATGTATCCCTATGGCAGCGGCAAAGCCAGCAAGTGGAATGGTCGCGGCCTATTGTATCTCTCAAATTAGTATGGTCCTACTTACCTAAGGGACATGTAGCATACCTCCTCAAAACTAATGCCGTCTGGTATATGAAATGTTGTCCAGCTCTCGGCGAGGCCGTACTCAGCAAATGCACCTCCGGGTCCTTGCATTGTATGAAAGGCTGCGACTCGGTCACCGGGCTTAAACTCAAGGACGCTAGTTCCAACAGAACTTACAACGCCAGCCATATCGTCACCAGAGTTGCTGCTGGTCTTTGAAAAGAACGGGAATTTCCAGTCCTTCGGGTTGCACCCGGCACATACAATCCTGATCAAAATCTGGGTAGCCGCTGGTGTAGGGATTGGCGCGTCATGGTTCACGGTAACCATGAGGTCAGGATTCACGATTGCTTCCTTCATGTCGCTGATGTCAGGTATATTGCGAATATTGGATTGGCAGAAAGCAGCTTCACAATATATCTACTTTCAGTTTGAGAAATACAATCTATTTCGACGAACAATTATCCATCAGCAAGCACCAGAGGCGAGTTGCAATATCACGACCCAGGGATGGAAGTACATTTCCAATTTGTTAGTAATGCTTTGAAGCATGGAGTTTGCTTGGTTAAGTCCGAGGTGGACGGGGCGGGAGTAAGCTACCTGCATGGCGCCGAATGGTGGGAATTTTGACGGTTTGGCCGAGACATCCCGTGATAGTCTCTGCTTACGATTATCTCATAATTCCTTACGAAGTTAACTCGGATTTTGCTGACACGTACTTTTCGTTGTCTCGTGGCTGTATGGACACGGTTGGTAGCGTCGTAAAGACAAGGCTCCTCGCGCATTGTGCGCCATTACGCGGGGACATATTATAATCGCTTCCATGTAAACACGACTTAGGTCCGGAAGTAGAGTGCTAGATCGTCCAGTTAGTAGAGCAAGCCGGTAACCTTCTCTGTCCGTATGGCTTCGTATCATGACACCGCTAAAGCCACTGAAAATTTTCATTGGCTTCTGTACTCAGTCACGGCGTGGCCAGATACTAGCACTCGAAAGGTGGAGATTTTGAATCAATTTGAAAGTCTTATAAGATGCATGGCCAGAAGTCCGGTTCTCTGTGCCAGCGGACAGCAACAACCGGAAACTTTTCGTATCTTTTAACTTGATGAAAAGCAGACAAATCATTGTCTAACGAGCTCTTTACCCATATTCAACTCCGACGCCCTTCCAAGAGCATTTTAAAATGGTTTTGTCTCCATTAGTAACTTTACTCTTTTTGGCTAGCATCGTTTCCAGTACTGCTCCTCCGGCGCACTTCTCTAGCAGCGAGATCCTGGGCAAAGCGATAGAAGCTTTAGGTGGAGCAGATGCCTTGAGAGCGATTAACGGGATTTCCTATCATTCATAGTGAGTAAATTCAGATGATAACTCCTCGGATAATACTAATTCTTTTAGTCTTTACCGTACTCAGTCTCTGGAAGAGAGCAAAACTCCAGGCATTCCTGACACGGGCGTTGCTTCTTCAGGCTCTGAGACGATCTCCTACGACTTTTCAGGAAATTCCTCAGAAGTGGTACAGAGAATAGACAAAACATACACCCTAGGGAACTTTTGGAATTTTGCCCGACCCAATCTCGATCCAGTTGATGTTTCGATCGTTGTACATGGCGGTAGTGCAGGGTACGGATGTTACGTGAAGGGAAACGAGCACATTTTCAATGATCCCAGCAGCGCCTTTGGGTACACTGATGGTAAGTACATTGGTGTCAATTACCCAGTGGATGTTATAGATCTTATTAATATCTGCTCTTTTAGGGTTTCTTGCGGATGTCCTGGTGCGAGATGCTCTTCGACTGTCGCCAAAGTTACTCCTTCAGATGCAAGCCAACTCTCAGTCCACATCAGCCGAAAACATTACTTATCACGAGACTGGGCCATTTCCAGCTGTGACAGATATATCTCTCAACATAACTGTCATTTTCGATCCAGAAAGCTTTCTGCCTTACTTGGTTCGGTCGTACGAAGACCATTTGATTTTTGGCCCCTCCACGAACGACTATGTCTTAACAAATTACACCGAAATCGGAGGAATCAAGTTCCCCCGCCTCGTACAAATCATGTACAATGAAAACAGTCTTCTTTTACACTCTTTAAGAGATACTATCACGATCAATCCCACTTTCGACGTCGGCTTCTTTGATGGCATTCCGCTCTCGCAAATTGGAAGTACGTTTTCTCTGTCGCCTCCCTCTGCGCCAGTGCTATCAACAGAGTATGGCGCGGCGGAAGTATTCGAGAATAAGTAAGTCCATGCAGAGAGCCTTTGCCTAACGTGCTGATTTTCCATCCTCTAGCGGGAACCTGGTTTGGTATGGGCCTTACCCAGGATCTCTCGCAAATTTAACCGTTACGCGACCTGTTCCCGAACTTCCAAATCTATATCACTTGGACTTTGAAGGAAGTATTTACACGTGTACTGTAGGAGTATTTGATGACTTTGTCATGGTCACCGATGCAGCTCCACATCAGAGTAAGCTGGTCATCAAGTGGGTGCAGGAGCAACTGCACAGAAAAGTTACACATTTATTAGTGAGTACTGCGTCTCTTCTTCGAGTATAAATCTTGACAGCTAAATCTAACTTTTGTGCTATAGGTGACCCACCACCATCGTAAGCACAGAATTGCTTAGACTTCAAGAGGTTCCAGGCTAAATGGGTATAGATGACCACAATTACGGTGCCGTAGATTTCGTTGCAGCAGGCGCAACGCTTGTTGTCCCAGAGGATTACACCTACTACTGGCAGGCAATTCCAGGAGTGAAGTTTGAAACCGTTGCGTGAGTGATCTCTATGAATTCATTTAACCAATAAATTCGCTGATACCCTCCTCAGAGAGGGCAAACCATTCAAGCACAAAGACTCCGGGATGCAAGTTCGTGCGATCTGGCACAATAAATTTGTCCACGCCGACGATTGGATGTATTTTGTTTGGACAACAGCATGCCCAGGAGCAGACTCGCCAATGGTAGCTACTATTGCGGACGCCTGGTCTCCTGGCTTTATTGGCTATGAGTTTGATCATCTCTTGGCTTCGCAGTATCTAGACCTTGCCAGGGAAGACCACATGCCACATGATTACCTGTGAGTAGAAGATATTATTTCCTTGGATTGTGTAACAAAAACTAAAATCTGGCTTGCAGGGTTGTACCAATCCACGGAACTCCTCACAATGTGACGGATTTGTATGAGTTGCTTGGATATGCGTATCCGAAATACGTGACAACGGACTTCCTACCAGGAGGGCACTTGTGTTAATGGAGTTCAGGAACAAGACCTGTGTAGGAGGCCAGAAGTTATAAGTTTTAAGCAGATGCTTTTGCACCTTATGGAGTGGCAAAGATGAGTTTTGTCCTATATACTCTTCGGAATCCTATTTAAGATTTGCGTTACTTTGATATTCCAGTGCATGTTCAGAAAATTTCGCAGAAAGGTCACTTCAAGACCTTGCCTCTGCACTGGAGACGGTTGGAGACGGCACTTGTAAACCAATTCAATAGTCCCCAGGGAATAAACTTAAGCCTGACCCCCTGCCACCAACACCACTGAAGGCACAAAATTCCCTACTTCGCAATTTGAGCTAGCAAGACCCGCTCAACAGAATAGAGGAGGCTGCGCGTGTGGGACGGCACGGAGGACGCAAGGAAGATCACGAGAGGCCACGGGTTGACCAATACTCCTACCAACAGACAGAACTACGTCGTAAACCGAGTAAACTGACTTGTGTTTATTTACTACATATCTGAACTGATCGGCTTAAGTCAATCTGTGCTTTGCTGAAGTAGGATATCGTAGTCATTGCGATTGACCCAACTCCACTATGGCTCAATAAGCAAGGGGACAGATGGTTCAGGGATATCTTCCACATGAGACACCCGATGTCGTTCTCCCATTTCCACCAGTCCGCCAAGTTACTGATCGTTCGCCATTGGATCCAAAATTCAGATACAGCAGGACCAAGGTCCTAAAACGCATTTCCTCTTATCGTGCACCGAGCTTCACACAGCTTCAGTCGCTGTATGACCGCCATTTCTACTTCCACTTCAATGAGAAATTGGCACAGTCTACAGTCCCCGACCTTGACAAACGGTTGCCGTCATGTATGAGGCAAAACCTAAGCTCGCTAACCTGATGAAGGGATAATTATAAGTGAAGGCGATTCTTCCAGGGAATCTGTATTTTAATCCATACCCGTAATCCTAGAGATTTTCTAAGTCGAATTGGTTTTGATGAAGCCTGAATAAGCCAGAATATCTTCGTTGCGCTTTAAATATCAAATGTCAAATTCACCCCTTTCCAATTTCTCGCTAAGCGAATTCAGGATATTTCGCGAAACAGCTTGACCAGACCTCCATAAATTTCTCAACGCAAATGCAGCACGAAATTCTGCTATCGTGAGCCTATTTAAAAGTAAGCTCCATCGCTCCGAATATAAGGGAGCCTTGCGGTACCACCGATTTCTCCTCCATTGCACCAACAATAATTACTAGGCCTTTGAATTTGATGGTGCTGAGTCCAATGTCAATTTCAGTCAGGATGTGGTCAACATCGCGAAACTCCTTTGGTATTTCAGAGACAAGTATTCCCTGCGATTTTCACAGGTTGAACACTTTCCAGACTCTGAATTTCACAAGTTTGGGAGCTCCCGTATACCTGATTCTGCAGAGTGCGAGCAACTACGAGGGGAGAACGTCCTCTTGTTGAAAAGAGTTTATACCTTGAGGACGACCTTGTCGGCATTGTTAGTAGTTTCATTCATCATCCCATGATTGAATACTCAGAACAAGCAACGGGTCAGGGCTTCGGATCACCTCGTGGCCAGAACACGGAGTCGAATGTCTGGTTCTAGTGTTTGGCTCGAGAAGGAGGGAATTTTTCTAACAGTCGCAAGGGTATAACTTTCAGGACAGCAAATTCCACAGTCACCTAGTCATTAGTTTCTTACGCGCCCAAGCTCATGGCGTCGATTGGAAGCACCTCAAAAACTGTACTCTCTCTTGGCAGGGGCAGAAAATCACATGCCCCCATACACTCAGCACAGTGTCGCCATACACAATAGGGGGGTTGGTTTACGGCCCGGAAGATCCTCGTATTGTTCTGAAGCACGACGTGGAAAGTTCTCAGCCAATATTTATCTTTAATATGCGAACGGACTCCAGCTCTTACGAAAGAGCGATGTACGTCATGAAGCCATTTTCTAACTTCACAACGAAGCTGCGGATCGAGAATCAACAGCCCCGCCTCAAAGAGAGAAAAACTGGGCACCTTTCTTACTGCCATGGCATGAGGACACAAGAGATATATAAAAGAGCTTTCCAAACAACAATATACATTTTGTCTACGAATTCTCTCCCCTCCGAATACTTCGGTGTCGTCTTTCTAGTGGCGCGTGTAAGTTTGTCTATGAGCAGCAAATTCCGAAGGCATACTTCGACGCGCAAATTCATAAGCACTCCTCGAGCCCTATGAGAGGTGGCACAAACTTTGAGCCTCTTGCATATCAACGCAGACCTAGAATGATTTCATTTGTGGGACTATCTAGAACGCGTACGGAAGCTGCTTGCAATGGAAACGCAGTTTATCATCCCGAGCTTGTGATACTTACAACTGATAGGGAAATTCACTACTTACACTACACCAGCGAAGCACTTCATTTTGGATCTTCAATATTAGAGGAGCAGGCGCGGAAGAGCATTTGCGACGGGGGGCGGATTCTGACACCTCTCAGTATCTCCAAGATCGATGGTGAGGACGATATCTTGACCGCATCTTTCTCTGTGGCGGATTCGACGGTTCAATTTGCGAGTATCAAAGGGTTCAAGCTCTCGCGGATCAGTCACGCCAGTTTAGTCCCGATGCTTGGAACTATTCAGATCTAGAAAGGAACCTCAACGTCACCATGGATGTCCTACGGTGCTCTGTTGAGGCGGCTTCTGACTACGCTATACTTACCGCAAGTGGCAGGTTGGTATGAAATAGAAATGGAATCTCCAATTCAGTAGTAAATCTAACCAGAAATACCTGATTCTCAAAAACAAGAGAATTTCGAGCCGCTTGAGATATCGCACGCGTTTAAAGCTGTTCAACGGCATTCTGAAAACTGGTAGGGATGAGTAGGAGTTTGAATTTGCAGAGATTAGAGAAGCATTGCGACTTATAAACAGCGGGGACAACCAACAAAGGTTGAAACACGCGATTCAGGAAGTTGCTCGGAGGTTTCGCTGAGCCACGCCTGGTCGATTTCAGAATTACTATTGAAAATGATGCCCAGCCCTCTTACTTTAGCCATCCTCAAGAACAAGCCTCTCAAAATGGTAGCAGAACACGAGGATCAGAGGATGATGGAGCTACTCTGCAAAGAGTAAATCCGTATCTACCATCCAACACGTCAAAATACTGTTTTCTCCATAGCATAACAGACGGCTGCAGAGGTACAAACAGCCGAGAAGGATAACTAACGTGTCAATTTTTGGAATGCAACTCCCGCTCTGGACCAACAGGGCGCCTTTGCAAGATGGGCAGAAACCCGAACTGTTTCACTCTACAGTTACTTGAACAGAGTAGCTAGAAACCGTACATTTGGCAGGGCAGACTTCCTCCAACGATTTTGTCATTTGTACGGGAGGAGGAGTTGCCTTGGTTGTTCTAATGGTAACCTTGGTTCTAAATATCTCTCTCGCTAAAAATTTAGTTACAGACATCTTTGCAACAGTCTTGATTGCAGCACTTATCATTGCTTGGAATTCCACTGGGGAGCCTCATAAGCTGCTGTCTTGATCATCTTTCTTGGATTCAATTCGTGCGCTTGCTAATTACACTGCTGTCTTGATTACCTTTCTTGAATTCAATTCAATTTAGTTATAGCAATAGGAAACCATCATTTCTTTTAGGCACATTGTAAAGGAATCTCGACGAATCCGTCATTTTTCGATGTGAGCTCAAGAAGCCACTCCCTGTCAGATGCGTTGAACTGTGATCAATTGGAGAGCTAGCTAGAGCGGGGAATGAACCTAAATATAAGAGAGTAAGAAGAATCACATGAACAATAAACAGTGGAGCCTGCTAAACCGAGGGTGGTCAGAGGGGGTTGAGACACGTGACCCCACAATTGTACCAGCTGACACCCTCCATCCCAAGCCTGGGTCGGCCCTCTATTTTTTTTCTAACTTGTATGGAATTGTTGAAATAGCAGAACTAAGAAAGCTGAACAGTTCTGGGACGTTTAGTTGAGCCGCCTTCTAATAATAATTGTTCACTGATTTACTTAGTTCGAGGAGACTAGCTTCGTAGGGAAGCTAGAGATAGGGGCTCGCTAGAATAAGCGAGCAAAATACCCATTGTTAACTAGATAATTTTTATCTTCTTCTCCAATGTCCCTCTTCGAATTCAATAAAACACTGACGACTGGCTGTTGACTTGGTTATTCTTTAGCAATATTACAAATCGAGTATCCTCGTCCGTCCAGCTTCATGCAGATGGCCCGACCTCGCCTCTGAGCCCCCCGTTCAAAAAACACACCTTAATTTTGTTTTACCTACTATAGGAGTAATTGCAAGAGATTAGAGAGTAAGAGCGATTATGTCAATCACTGCTAAAAGGTGGAGAAAACGTTGGCCACAAGCTGAGTGAAGACATCAGGCTGGTGAGTCACGAGCTACCCCCAGGCACACGTGCTCGCTTAAGAGGTCAAGAGGCATCTTTGCTTTTTCCCAGCCTTGAATGTCGAGCACTTCACCCAACTTCATGATCAGATCGCGTACACCCCCGACCCAAGTCTATCGCCACCCTAAAGCTGCTCAATCTCGTATCAGGAATGGATCGCAATAATTCTCGTTACAACTACGAACCCCTGCAAGGGCCGGAGCAGATACGCACTCTCACGCTCCGAGGCATCTCGAACGGCGTCGTCGAGTGCACCATCCAGCAAATCAAGGTGTCGGAAGGTGGCTACCAAGCGCTTTCGTACGTCTGGGGCAGCGAAGAGAAACCTTTCCATGCGCTGGTGCGGGATGCTAGGAAAAAACGGTATGGACGAATGCCCTTCATGAAGAATAAACAGCTTGGCCGGATCCCGCTCACCAAGAATCTGAACGACGCCCTGCATGATTTATGGAACGCCGATGAGCTCACGAGTAAGGTCTTCTGGGTCGATCAAATTTGCATCGATCAGGAAGGCGAGGAGAAAAATCATCAGGTCGCTTTCATGGGGCAGATTTACAAGAATGCTTCGAGCGTGATAACTTACCTGGGGCGAGTGGAGGATGAAGAGGAGGAGCAGAGAGGGTTGGAATTCTTGAAACGGTTGGACAGCCACTTCTCGCCGAACTACGAAAAGTTATCTCAGGCGTGGGATCTCAACATCGCAATGTCCAAACTATCGGAACTTCCGGTATCGAGGCTACCGGATGATTTGTTAGGAGGTGCTGTCAGTGAGCGAATATGGCAGTGGTTGGTCACATTGTGCTTTGGAGAGTGGGCAACGCGTCTCTGGATAGTGCAAGAACAGATGCTGAATACAGACAATCGCATGCTCCACGGCCATCAACTACTATCTTGGGATTCCGTGGCCGTCATGCCTGTGCTCTTCTGCCTGAGATTACTTCCCGATCAACACGTTAATACATTCTGCGCAACCAATCACAAGTCACTTATAGAAAATCCTGGGCATGTTGTAAGTTCTATCTTCTCAATCTGGAGAACTTATCAACACGCAAGGCAGAAAGCGGCAACCGCGACGTCTTTCGCCTATAGCTTGCTTTCAAATATGTCGCGCTTTGAGAACATGCAGTGTCGAGATCCACGAGACTATATATTTGCTCTGCTAGCCATTTCCTCCGACTCAATCGACCTTGGAATTACTCCAGATTATTCAAAATCACCTAAACAGGTCTTCTTGGACACTACTATTTCCATGGTCGAGTCTCATGCAAATCTGGATTACCTCACTTTTGCATGCAGAACGGATAATTCATCGGACCTGATACACTCCTCCTGGGCTATTACTTCTCCCCGGCCTGCACATCTGTGGTCACGAACTCTACCGTTTAAGGTTTTCAGTCCCCATCCCTTCCTCATTCTTCATGCACGACCACGGTTTTTTGCCGATGGTAAAACTAATGCCTTGACCCTCAAGGGCCGTATCCTTGACCATTTTTCCTTCATAAAATCTCCGATATACCAAAGCAAGTCATTTATCCTCGACATTAGGGACGCGGACCTCACGGAAACTTTGTCACAGCTCACTGAAGCTCTGTCAGATGTGATATGCGATCTGGGCATAACTCTCGAAAATGCAGCTGCACTTTGCCGAACCCTGATCTTAGATCCAAACTGGAAGCCGACTCATGGGCAAGGGTCTCCAACACAACAGACTGCGTACCACTTCTGGTGTTGCTTTCGTTGGTTTGTTAGATGTACCGAAGAAGACTCAATACGCTTGGGCCTAAAGGTCCATACAGCGGCTCGATCTCGCCATTTGATCAAAACTCTTGCTCCATTGATTTTGGAGACTAGTCTCAATTACTTTCCGATTGAGGCAAAACTACGCCCTTCGGAATATGGTGCAGGTATGAATGTTTGGAAAGACATGCATTTTCAAGGACGCTCTTTTTGCACAACGCAGCAACGACGGGTCTGCAGTTGCATGAATAAGATAGAGAGTGACGACGTGATAGCGGCGTTTCGTGGGGGAGATAGACTATACGTACTTCGACCAGTAGAGGGAGGAAGATACCGGCTCGTCGGTGATGCATATGTGGACGGTTTGATGTTTGGTGAAGCTTACGAAGGCGTTGATGCAGATGAGGTCGATTACGACATTGAGCTTATGTGATCTGACAAATGCTACTTTATGTACTGATTCTGATTTCTTAAGTCCTTCTCTAATTCCTTATACTCGGATGACAATGGGGTGGTTTTACGGGGAGTTGTACTTGCTACTAACAGCAAAACTTCGACACAGGAAAGAATTTTTGTTCCAAGAACATTCATCATGTTCCTCCAATATAATAAGAATGAATCTTCATTGTTTATCTATCACTTCACACAGGCTCTTCAAGCACATCTCAGAATAGTCAAATTACCCTGCACTTGGAGACGACCTGGGAGGTCCATTCGAAGGCAAATTCCCAAGGAACGTTGCCAATACAGCACAATATCTGTAGGAAACATCAGTAACGACGATTTGCGAACCGAAAGTATACTCACGCTGCAGAGCCCAGAAGAATGTCTTTGGCTTTGATTTTGGTGGACAGGGATAACAGGGTCGAGAATATTAGCACAGATAAAAGGACAGTAACAGATATCCAAGCGCGATTCCAAGGAGTCCAGACAAGGATAGAGACGGGTAGAATGAGAATTGCAACTGCGATGAAGACACTGATGGATTTTGCGGCGGCGGAAATCCGCTTCTGGGAAAAGTAGGTGACCACCGGCCCACCGCATCCATCTCCACATCTTGACGGACGGAAAAGACGCTAATGTGCTGTCAACTTATATCTGTGGGAGACAATTTATATTGAGCAATTTGCAGATGCACATACATTCAGAAATGATGATGCCAGCGAAGACTCAAGGTGATCTATTTCGGAAAGTCCGACGAGATCGTCCTCGTGCAAAATCCAATCGTCCTCTTGCTCCATAACTGGTTTCTTGCCCTCAATCCAGTGAAAGAGAGATTGATGGTTATGTTTCAACGGCGGACCGAGTGCTTTCAACTGACTACTCTTTAGAAGTAAATCATCTGGATATTCTTAAATCAGCCAAGACCTGGGCAAATGTTGGGTATCGAGTGGATTCACAGTATATCGGAAGCTTGTCCTGGAGTTTCGTAATGGTTTTCCTTTGCTCGCCATCCCAACCTTCTTCATGTCTGGTAGACCGCAGTCGATAAGCGGTTGTAGAACCATCATCAGCTCGATCCATCTGGTTCAGGCCATTATCAAGGGCTGCAATTTCGGACTGCAAGTGAAGTAGAACACGGTTGCTGGCTCGATCAAACTTTCGATAAATGCAGAAGTTATCATCGCTCGTGATTAAAGCTGCCAATTGAGGATAGCCTTCTGGATAATCATCGACTATGCTAAGATCAGCGTAATGTTTTAAAACGGGAATTCGGCCATTGTTTATTAACCATTGTTCCATTTGAAAGGCCGTAATACTGGCAAACTAGTCTCCCGCTGAAAGAGTTTGTATTGCCAGAGGTTTGAAACGGTAGATGAGGCAGACGTAACGATGTTCTTAAGGCGTGGTAGAGAAAATATTGTTCCGGGTGACACTTCACCATTGGTGAGCAGGTCTCAAAGAAGTCATTCTAGGATCAAAGCTTACCAGCTGTGCTAGTACGTGATAGTCGCTCGTAAATCGTGGCAGATCTGCTAGTTCTCAATGTGGCTTCGACCTTCGGGTGCCTAAAACCTGACGAGGCTCGCTCAGCCTCGTCAAAATCAGTGGCATAACTTGACCCTCTGGCGGCAATTTCCGGTCTCGCAGGCATGCAAGCACTCGTAATGGAATATCTGGATCTAAACTGAGCTTGGGATAAAGTTTGACAAAGGTGGGAAGGAAACTGGAGACGGGTTGGAGACTCATGGAATGCTCGCGGCTGTAAGACACCAATTTGATGCCCGGTTTGAACCCACCGTGTTGCAGCCCAACATCAGAGTGGGTGCATCACGGTTGCCTATGGCGCGGCCTTGGGCTTACTGAGTGTAAGGCTGTGCTGAACAAGGAGTTCAAAGCCTCAACAAACAGGTAGTGCTGTCCCTGAATAACGCACAGTTTCGCTCACTTTCTTTTTCTGTTGTTCGAACATTGCCTTTTTGAAGTCAATGGTTAGGAGGAAATTATGTATCTTTTTTTTTTTAAGAATCCCAAAAGATTGAAAATATAACATTCCAGGCAAATTCCAGCAGCTGTCATTCTTCTCTTTGCGTACATAGGCCGAGGGCAATTGGAACAAAATATGACTCACCGACTCACTGGGATCAGCCCGGAACGCAAGTTTTCCACATTTGATCTGACTTTGGGGAAGAATCTCAAAGAAAATATCAACCATGCGAAAAGTGACTGACGGAGAGGAGTTTTATGCCAGATTAACTATATCTAAATGGCAAGTTCAAGCCGCACTCATGACCATAGAGTACCTTAAAACTACAAATGACCATTACGAATGACCCAGAAGCCTAAGGCACTTACACTGATGAGAGTTCTCCTGTGCTTATTGCAAGCAACATTCAGAGACAGTGAGGTACTTGCTGTTAATATCTCTCGCTCGGCTCTGGCTATGGGATTGTCCACTAGTCAATTGGAATTCGAAAAGCACTGCTTCTTCGTGTCTTAGCAGGTTCACAAAACCTTCGCCCAAACCGTCATCCTACCTCTTCACAACCAAGCCTCCCCAAATTCTGCGGTGTTCAAAGAGTGACTAATCGGGATCGATTATTATGGCACACGATTCCCCAGGCGTTAACCTTTCACACTAAAACCCGTAAGGCATAGTTGGTCCGATCTAAAAACAATAAAATGAAGGGAAGTCTACTATAATTCCGATTAATATAAATCGTATTAATCGGAATTATCGTATGTCTAATAATTATTAATTTCTTGTTCTTTGATTTTTGATTTCTTTAATATTATAAGAGTTATAAAGCAAATAATTATTTTATAAAAGCTTATATAAGTTTTTTTCGCATTTTATATAATTTAAAAATTATATCTTATATAATATATAAGGTTATATATAATTAAATTTATAGACTTTTATTATTTTATATTTTTCTTAATAATAATCTTAAAATTTAAGCTTTTATTATATATAATAAGCTTACGAAAGCTTAAAGAATCTTATGAGTCTAAGTTTAATATATTATAATAATAGAATTGAAATAATAGCTAAAGCTTAAAGATTTAAGAATTTCATATATTAAAAATACTAAGCTAAAGAGAAGAAGAAGAGAGAGAGAGAGAAAGAGAGAATAAAAGAAGGGAAATACTAGCTAAAACTACTGAAATGCTAGCTAATTAAATAAAACTAGTTATATAATAGCTATTTCCCTTATAACTCTAGCTAGTACTATTATATATATTATTTATTTAAGTATATATAATATATTAAAGAATTATTTAAGTTATTTATAAATATTTATAAATAACTTAAATAAAATATAAGTAATAAATAGCTTAAAAAACTTAAATAGAATAGAATAATTATATAAAAGTTATATAAAAGTTATGAAATTATTATAAATTAATATATATTTAAATTTAAAAAAAGAACTAAGGTATTTATTAAATAGCCTTATATAAGTTAAGCTAGAACTTATATAAAATTATTTAAATATTAATTTTCTATAATAATAAACTAATTATTCTCTTTAAAATCTTGTTTTTTCTCTCTTTTCTCTTTTTTTCCCTCTTTTTTCTTAGCCTCTTTTAATTTATTTTTAAATAACTTCTAGCTTTTTAAATAAGCTATTATTTTAAAAGTATTCTTATTAAGTCTATTATATAAGTTAGATATAATAAGAGTACTTTAAGAGAAAAACCTTTTACTAGCTATTAAGGAAGCCGGAATTCCTAAATATTTCTTAACTATTAAAGCTAAAATAAGAAACCTAGTAGTATTAGATTTCTAATAATCTAAAAGCTTAGCCTATATATATATTAGTACTAATATATTAAAAAATATTAAGAGAATATCGAATAATTATTTAATAGAATTTAAATAAATCTTATTAATTTTTTAATTTTTAATTTTTTCTTCTAAATAAGTTATTAACTTGTTCTCTATTTTAAAGGTCAAATTAGTAATATATATTCGAGTTATTAAAATCGGAATTGAAATCGGCTATATTAATATTCGAGCTATTAGATCTAGTTTGAAATATATTATAATTATATTTAAATTTAAATTTAAATATTAGTTATTAATTTATTAAAAACTAATAAAAGGAATTATTTATATATTATAATTAGTCTTTAATCTATTATATATATCCGAAGATATATTACTAAATAAGCTAATACTAGTTAATTCTTTTTATTTAATTTAAGACTTAAGAATAAGAATCAAATATAAAACTTTATTTTTATTATCTAAAATACCTGTTTTAAAATAATATTTTCGAAGCTTAGCTATATCCTTATTTATAGTATTTATAAATGCTTTATTCTATTAAAAATTAATATAATATTATTAATAATATAAAAATAATTTAAGAAAAAAGTTATTTTAAATTTCTTTTTAAAAAATTTAAGTTTATTATATATTTTATATACCTCAAATATAATATATAATAGAATAATTTTCGGCTTATAACTTAGTTATGGCTTTAATAAATATTAAAATTATATTTAAAATATTATTTAAATAAGCAATTTTAATATTAGTTAAAACTAGATTTTTATTTTTAAAAGCTTTTAAATTGAAACTATTAATAATTACTTTAATAGCTTTATATATAAATATAAAGTTCTTTAATATAAATTAATAGTTAATACAAATTAATAATTAATATAAATTAATAATTAATACAAATTAATAATTAATACAAATTAATAATTAATACAAATTAATAATTAATACAAATTAATAATTAATACAAATTAATAATTAATATAAATTAATAATTAATATAAATTAATAATTAATATAAATTAATAATTAATATAAATTAATAATTAATAATTAAAAAATTATTTATTTATTAAATTAAGAAAATTGAGTATTTTCTATATTAAAAGCTTTAATTTAAGCTTCTAATAGCCGTTAATTTCTTGGTTATATTTAAGACCTATAATAGCCTTTTTAATCTTTCTCTAAATTAATAAATCTAAAATTTATTAATAAATCTCTTATAAATTATATAAAAAACTTACTTATTACTTGTTTTTTTTATATATTTTTTTTCAAGTTCTTTTATTTCTTACTCGTATAAATCTATAAAATAAGAAGTATTATAATTATTTTTAATAAAAGCTTTTAAAATATATTAAATTATTAGATTTAATATATAAGCTATATAAGAATTATTTTCTTGAAATTTAATGCCTTTCTTATTATAATACTTTATAAAAGCCTTTAATAAGATATTATTTGAGCTAGTATTATTTCGAATAATACTAAATAATATATATTAGTAATTATTTAATAAATATTTTAAATTATTTATTTAATAATATTAGATTCAATATTACATTATTTTAAAGCTTTAATAAAACAGAAAGTATATAAATACTAAAGTAAATATTTCTTAAATCTTTTATAACTAATAAATAAGATTTTGATTTAGAATTCTTATTTATAAAATATTTAATAATTATAAGAATATATAAACTTATATAATAATTTCAAGAAATGCCTTTTAATTTATATTTATTTAAATATTTAAAGTAATAAAAAAGGGTTTTTAAGAATTAATATTCTCTTTTAATTCTTTTTTAATATTTAAACTATTTTTAATATTATATAAATTAAGCTTATTTATAAGAGCCTTTAAATATATAATAAATATTTAATTAGTAAATATTAGTATATATATAAATAAGGGATAATATAATAGAAGCTTACTAATTTAAATAAAATATTAGCTTTTTAAAGCTTAAAATAATAATAGCCCGAAAAGAAATATTATTATTAATAATAAAGTTTAATAATAATTTCTTAAAGTAATTAGTAATAAAGCTTTTTTTTTATTATTCGAATTCTTTTTTAAAAAGGCTAGTTATAATTATTTATAAAACTTAATTAGAAGCTTTACTTTTATTTATTAAATATATTAGTAAATATATCTTTTTTATTAATAATAGAATAACTTACTATTATTATTATTATTATTATTATTATTATTATTATTATTATTATTATTATTATTATTATTATTATTATTATTATTATTATTATTATTATTATTATTATTATTATTATATATTATTATTATTATTATTATTATTATTATTATTATTATTATTATTATTATTATTATTATTATTATTATTATTATTATTATTATTATTATTATTCTTAAAACTTTTAAGGTCTATAAACCTATATATATATTAAAAATAAGAATAATATATATTTATTAATTAAGCTATATTTTACTATAAATTAATTAGTAAAAAATTAATTAAAAATTAATATATTAATTATATATTTAATAGAATATATATAAAGATTTTTATTATTTTCTTATATATAATTTAATATCTTTTTTAAGTGGTTTTTTTTAAAAAGAAAAGCTTATTTATTAAATAATTATTATTTGAAATCGAAGTAATTTTAACTTATATTAAGCTTAATTAAAAAGTCTTGAGATATTTTTGAATATATTAAATATATATAAGAATATATATAATATAAAGTAATAGTTAATTATTTATAAATAATTAAAATATAGAAGAAAAGTAAAATCGAAGAAAACGATATATTCTTATAAAAAGTTCTAATATTCTAAAGTCTGCTTTATAATTCTTCTAATTATAAAGATTCGCCTTAGCCTAAAAATTCTAGTTCTTCAATTTCTAATCTTTATCTCTTATATTAGTAATTTAATATAATTGTAATTTGTAGTAATTCTAGAAATATTATTAAGATTTAATTTATTTACTAAATACTATTACTATCTAATTAGCTAATAAAATAGTACTAGGGGCAAGCCTCTCCGAAGCCTTATCTAATTAAGCTAGCTTTATTATATATATAGATTATATATATTATTTAAATTATTTATAAATAA